CATGCGAAGCACGACGGCCATCGGCCTAAAGATTCGTAACAATTCAGTTCGGCCAATCAACAGCAATTGTGCATTTAAAGCTAAACCCTGTAAAGCAGAGCTCAGATCAGGGAAGCAAGCATGTGGAGCCACTTGTGCAGCAGTGACTATGTGCAAACGAGGAGCATGCTGATAGCAGGAGAGAGCAGAGCGACAGAGATGAGCTCATTAGTCTGCCGCTTCGACCTTTCCTAACCAGGTCACAGGGACAGGACCTAAAGTGTTACTGAACCACTGCAGCTGAGAAAAAGAGGACTGTGATGTGGCAGAGCTGTGTAAACTTAAGGATTGGATGGGCAGAAATATAAATCCAGATAAAACAGCTCCAATGTATCATCTGTATATGTAGTTGTTTGCCCGACATTCAGCTGTACACGTGGACATGTTGTGTATGAAGGGGTCACTAACTTTTCCATCACTCTAGGGTATCGGAGCGCGTTCATAGAACGCAGGTCTCTGGGATCCAATCAGACGCCGCATTCCACATCTGGCAGAAACACTTCACAACCCGATGTCAGAATCTAAGTGTGTACACCAAGCCGGATCTCTGCCTGTGTGAGACCAAATGATTTCCTATGACCCCCTTCCAATATGTATATTGGACCCCCGCCCCTCCCCTCCGGTCTCCCACCTGACCTCCGTCCCTCTCCCTTCGGTCTCCAATCCGACCTCCCCTTCGGTCTCCTATCCGACCTCCCCCTCGGTCTCCTATCCGACCTCCCCCTCGGTCTCCTATCCGACCTCCCCCTCGGTCTCCTATCCGACCTCCCCTTCGGTCTCCTATCCGACCTCCCCTTCGGTCTCCTATCCGACCTCCGTCCTCCCGTCTTCTATCCGACCTCCGTCCTCCATCTGACCTCCGTCCTCCCGTCTTCTATCTGACCTCCGTCCTCCCCTTTAGCCTTCTATCTGACCTCCGTCCTTCCCTTCGGTCTCACATCTGACCACCATAGCTTTTCGACACCGAAGCTTACAGTATTTTCAGTTTTCTAAGGTTGTAGTTGAGTGAATCCGGGACTGACGCACCGCACGCGTTACGGAAGATCACCCCCCTCCCCCCATGAGGGCTGGAAGGTGGGGACAGTCTGGGCTGTATACCGAATTGATTAGCAGATGATCTTCTATGGGAATATATTTTTATCTGGGTGATT